CCTAGTTGATCTCATAACTGATATACTTTCGAGATTGCATGCGAAATCCATAGCGAGGCTTCGGTGCGTGTCAAAGGAATGGGTTTCGATTTTGAATCATCCATATTTCCCTGACTTATTCTTGACGATCTCTTCTTCTCCAGAGGCAAGGAGACGCGGACGAGATGAAGAGATCTAGTAAAGGTCTTTCTTCTCGTCACCACAGTCTCTGATTTCATACCACAACTCATCTTCTATAGTTTTGGATAACCATATGCATATCCTTAGAGACCGTTCATTCGGAGTTTGTGTCCCTATCTATATATTGCTATGTACCAAAGATGAGTACATTCTAACTAGAAGGAAGGATTCAAGGATGATGATATGCAACCCTAGCACATGACAATTCATACATTTACCCAAAGTTAGAACGAGGAGGAGTCGTGTTATAACCTATAATATTGGGTATGATCCAACTGAAAAACAATTCAAGGTATTATGGATGACTATTAGTGAGAAACCTTTTATTCATAGAGGTGAACAACACCAGGTTCTCACTCTAGGAACGAGAAATTTGAAATGGAGAATGATTGAATGTGCGGTACCCCATTACCCTCAAGATTACGAGATATGTATCAACGGAGTTTTATATTATTTAGCTGAAGATACCGATTCTCGAAATATTTCTATGATAGTTTGCTTTGATGTTAAATTTGAGAAGTTCAACTTTATTATTGATGAAGTTTTCAAAGATCAACGTTTCCCGTCGACTCTAATAAATTACAAAGGCAAATTAGGTGCTATTCATCCTACATCATTTGGTTTTATGGATGGAAGAACTACAAGTTTTGAGTTGTGGGTTATAGACGATATTGAAAAACATGAATGGTCAAGACATGTTCAAATATTGCCGCCTATGTGGAAAGATCTAGTTGCAAATACTGAGGTTTACATCGTTGGAATGATGGGTACAAGTGAAGTAGTGTTTTCTCCATACGTCTTGTCCAACCCGTTCTACATTTTTTGTTTAAATATGGATAGAAACTCTATCAGAAAAATTGAAATCCAAGGAATTGAACCTCTTGAAGGTCAAAAAGTTTTCACATTTATGAACTATGTGGAGAATGTGAAATTTATTATATGAATTCTCAATTTGAGTTTCATTATATCGGAGCTAGTTTGTATCTATCTTAAATTTGCATAAATACAATATCATAAGACTCTTAATCTAATCCTTGTTTTATCATGTATTTTTTCCATTGTTCAGTTATTGTATGACTATTTTATATTTATTTTGATGATCGCTTCATATCAATCTGGTTAATATGTTCATGCTTTTGTTTACAGTAGTAGTTCATTACATTAACAAACAATGTTTA